AGCTGCCCATGAGGAGAGGAGGAGGCCCGCAGGGCCCGGGCTGCTGCCGCGGCTCAGGAGCCTCCGCACGGCCTTTAATTCCTCTCAACAAACACTGTGGGCTATAAACAACTTTTACGTAGCGAAATCTGCGATTTTTTTTCGTCATTTTAAGAGACATCATAAAATAAGCAGAAAATGCAGTTTTGTATTCCAACTGTGAATTAAAAGGATGGAAATAACCATGTTCTGGGATGTTCATTTGGCTTAACTAACTGCAAGGTTCTCATAAAACCACTGCCAGTTTTAATGCTGTCTGTAAAACCCTCTTGTTTTCTAAAATTTCACCAGATTTTGGAGTTAATGAATTGTAAAGGGCACCTACTTTCCAGTCAGAAGCTTTTGGATTGTGTTTATTCCAGCAACCTTTTTGAAAACAGCACTTAATCGTATCGTTTCACATTAAAAGGCACAATTGGATTTCTTGTGAAAAATTTTAAGCACAGATGCACAGTAGTAACTATTTCTGTAAGTTTAATAGCTGAGCTGCTTTAATTTTTCCAAACATTAAAGGCAGTTAGACGAACGTACTAGTTTCATCAGTATATGGAGTACTAGTCACTGCTGTGTTATGTATTATTCCCCAAATTTGACACAGATACCGAGACTGCAACCTTTTATTAATATTCAGTTGGGAATAAACTGAGCAAATTATAAAGGCCTAAAATAACAGGCTATCACAGAAACATTGGCAAGCTGATGGTGCAAATATGTGACTAGAAATGAATCATAAATCCATAGCCAAAGCTACATGTAAATGGCCCTATTTTGCCATCATTTATGTGGCACTTAGGTTTCATAGAACATTTTGGCAAGTCATAGGAGTATGTCATAGAATTTATATGAAAATTGTATTCTGCCCTTCCAAAAACAGCACCGAGCTCAGCAGCCTGGCAGGCATGAAAGGGGCTGAATTCCTAGAAATAGGGTGGAGATCAAGTTAAAGGAGCCGCCTTTGCCAAGACAAGCAACTTCAGTATAGTTTTCCCTTCCAAAACTGAATGGAAGCCAAAAGAGGAGGGCAGATTCAGTGTGTGCCACTAGTTGGACACGTTACCTAAAAGCCTTTAGTTTTGGCACATTTAGATCTTTTACCTCAACTATTGTTAATAACTCATAGAAATCACAGGACACGACAGCTATAAATGCCTAGACTGTTAGATTTTCTAACATACACCATTTTTTTAAATAATTGGCAGCATTTTCTGTAATAGCGTACTCCCATTTTGATACAATCATAATTCCAGTCCATAATTTTTAACAATGTAATAATTTTGCCTGAGCACAGTTCCAGATCTTATTTTTGGATGTACAAGTCTTGAAACTGTGGTTGTCTTCTGGGACCTAGAAGGTCTGGATTTCATTCCTAGTTTTCTTTCTATGTGAACCTGAGTGATATGGATACATATGCTGTGGATACATTCTTTTTTAAAGATCTGTGTTCATACCATGTTTTTTTCTCCCTCAGATGTGGGATATGATACTCCTTTAAGGCCTTAAAATGTATTAATACTCGTTGTACAAAACCTTTTATTTAAAGCAAAAAAAAAAAAGGATATGGGATTACTCATATAAATAACTGGTTAGAAAGGAAAAAAAAAAGAAAAAAGTCTGCTCACCTCTTTCCTTTATCTCACCCACCTCGTGGATTGCTTTGATGTTTTTCCTAAAGAGTTTGTTGTGCTTATCAATAAAGTAGAATAAAATGTGAAATACTGAACGACAACTTTC